GGCAGGAACTACAGCTGCTGAGAGGACGGAAATATGTCACAGGAATAAAATCCGTTGTGAGCCCAAAGAGTGATGGTTTCAGCAGCCTGTTGTAGGATCACAGCAGTTCAAGTGCTATTGGTGATGCAGAGGCAGTTAAGGGGACACCAGTATTACAAGATGGTCATCAGACCAGACCAAGCTAGAAAACTAACACAACTCATTACATGCATGATTCTCCAATCAGTGGCTTAGAAAAACAAGTACTCTCTATGAAGACAGGCAGTTCCTGTGCTACAACAGTCAAATTCTCCAGCAGAAATAAGCTATTGTGGATGCATATGCTTTACTTACATATGTGCTGCCAATTTCTGTTTCAGGTTGCTTGACTGTAAAGAATTAAAACTCAGTTATATTTCAGTATTTCATACTTTGCACATATAAAGTCCTTTTACAAATCAGCCAAGAATACGTAGCACACCTAAGTCTGCCAAACCAACTAAATCCTAAAAAAACCTTGCTTTTATGCATTTCTGTACTTCATATTTTTTTGCATCACACAGGTACCAATTCCAGCATCTTTATTTAAAGCTATCCATCTCACTATACCACTACTTACTGAGAGCAGAATGAATCACCTGAACCATGAGATTTTTAGCTGAAATGCAGTCGGTGTGTGGGTCTTGTAGATTCTCATACTAGAGACTAAACTCATCTGCTCTGAATAGAGCAGAGCTAAGGCTGTGTTATCTAAACTGAGGGAGTTGTTTTCAGGCAGAAGTGTCTTCAGAAAACATAGAACACCATCAGTTAAGATGTTTGCTTATGTGTTTGTTCAGGTTGGGTGACCCAAAGGGGTTTCAGAGCTTGCTTGCTCTTATTACTGCATAAATTAGTTCATTTCAAACCAACTTAAGGGAAAAAATAAAACACAAAACCAAAAAAAAAACCAACCCCAAAAAACCAGCACCCAAGGGTGATCTTGCCTTCTTAGTTATCAGTAACAGACACACTGAAAAAGAAGAGGCACATCTAAGCAAAGGTCTTGATGCTACACAGAAGGATCTTAAAACTGGCAAGACATCTTCCAAGGTCAAGAAGCCTGAACTTTTACTTACTCCTTCAGTCTTGGATCCCTGCTCCTGTAAAGTCTTCTGCAGATCTTCAATCTGCTGCTGTAACTCCCCAATACGCTCTTCATTTAGCCTTTTAGGAAGAAAAGAGAGTCATTACCCAGTTAGGCAGATCACAACAGACAGATTTTTGTTTCATGTCTAGATGCTAATTTTTCAGAGGGTCTACCCAGCAGGACCTAAGCCATAAAGAAAATGATTTCAAATCTTTCCTGTTTGACTTGAACTC